GCAGCCCAGGTTCATTAAATCACTGGGTCAGACGTGGGACTAGAACACTGAATCTAACTTTTCTCACATCTGTCTGAGCTGCTGCACTGCAGTCGAGGACTCTCTGTGTGCAGCTGTCTAGTTGTGCTCAACGATGCATGCGAGACATTTGTTCACCGTCAGTACACTGACGTGTGTGCTGGTGCGTGTGAGGCGTTTGGGGCGCCTTGGGAAATTGTAGCTTCTACCAACAGTTTGCCTGTGAGATGTTTACGTAGCATCTGTAAGTAGCAGCTTAAAAACAGCAACCTGGTTCAGACTCTCCCAGCACCACAGATAAGCCGTGAGAAGCACTGAGATATGATAAAAGGGCCGATGTTATGCGTCGCATTTATGGCAGAGTGCAGCTATAGCACAGCTGGGGACGGCGCATTTGCTGTCAGACCATTTCAAACTGAAAAGAAAGTGACCCAGTGCTGTGGTCGGCAGTGCAGCTCGCCTCCTTGCAGAGTTCTGTTGAAGCAGAACAGCAAGACGAAGCAGTGAAGAGTCAGAAATGATAATAAAATGTTCCTATAATGTAACCAAAGAAGAGCCACCTCAGACTAACAGTAAGTCCCAGATCATCCTTGTGAACATTTACCTGCACATTTTTTCCTGTTTACATTCATTTATGTGATCACAGTGTGTGCAGGAAACTGAGGAAAGAGGTGCTCTGTGAAATGCATTACATGTGAAAAATGTGGGTGCACCTAAATCATGCTCTGGTGCGTCTGTATCGCGTAATGTCAACATCATGTTGACAACACATTGGAGTTGACTGGAGCTGAAAAAGTACCATCGGTCATGACGTACTGTAACATGATCACCGTGTAAAAACCATCTGCAGAGCAACTGGAAAATGGACCTTACATACAAAAAGAATCATACTTGAAATAATAAAAGAAAACAACCAAGTGCTGCATCTAATGCTTATCTTCAGTATTATTTGTGCTGCTGGTTATGTTTTTGCTATGTCAGGAGTGTGCCGTTTCAACCTGATGATGTACGAGGAGGGCAGGGCGGTCAGCAGAGCCATGGGTAAACCGAAGCCGAAGTAATATGGCCAGTTCCTCTCGATGTTGGACAGCCGTTGGTGCATCTCGATGCCTGAAACAGAAATAAAAAAGTCACATCTTTTTGCACGAGTTTCACATTCAGTCGACTTTGACTCGCTGTCTGCGATGGAAACGACGTCTCACCGTGGTTGAACCAGCGATACTCGAAGCAGTACAGGGAGTAGAGCAGAGACATGTGGAGGAGGCTGACCATCTGTCCAATGGCGTCGATGGGGAAGAGGCTAACGATCATACCCTGGAGGACCACACAAATACACACAGTTGGGTTCAGCAAGAATGCACTGAGACCGGTTGGCCCAGTTCAATGGGATTCGCTTTAGATTAAAGGGCGATGATGTCATGTTATTTCCATGCAGATGAATTCTGATCAAGTCCTCAGAACAACTAACAACAGCCCTTTCACTGAAATCGTTTCAGAAAAAACTTCTCGTAGATTAACTGTAGCAACTGGATTTGCTTGAGTTTCTTGAAGACGTTCCACCTTCATCCAAGAGGCTTCATCAGCTCTGACTGACTAGTTGGGAGTTCCAGATATCCTTAAGGAGCCGTTAACACCTGAGTTTCAGCTCAATTGGGGGTTTGTTGCTCCTCCCTCTCGTTATGTGTGTCGTTAGTGCTCCCCCTGCCACAATGGAGTTCGTTAGGGTCAGGGAGGACAGACGCTTTGAGAGAGGGGTAAAAGAAGCCATCTAACTGAAAAGACCATCCCTCAACAGAGGTGGAGGTCTGAGGCATCACCTCTCACCTGTTTACAATTCAGTCCTAAGATCTCTCCCCAGGAAGATGAAATCACATCCACACCTAGCCACAAAGACCCTAACGAACCCCACTGTGTCAGGGGGAGCGAGCATTAACGACTCACATAACGAGGGGGAGGAACAACAAACCTCAAATTGAACTGTTTATGAGTCCATCAGAAAACTGATATCATTTACAAACATTTCGTTGCTTCTGAGCTTCGAGTGAGAGACCATAGCACAGCTTCACAGTTACTGTTCAACTCAAACATCTGCTGTGGTGAAGAGAAGCAGCTACATGAGTTCTAGCTGTACGGACTGCAGTGGGATTTTGTAACATCGATAAACAACAAAACAAAAAAAACACAGACACTGATGCAGCTTTGGAAACAAAGAAAGGCAGTGTGAAGTTATGTACCTGAATGAGGAAGAGTGCCTGGAGGAGGAGGTTGAAGAGCATGTCTGCGATGATCTTACTAACGCTGGGGAACGGCTGAGCTTTACAGCCAGACACTTCGAATGCTAGGTCAGCTATATCCTGCAAGAGAGAACAACACCGACGTCTGTGTCCCTGCAGCCAAAGTACCACGCAGTGTATAGAAGCATCACAAACATCAGCGTCTGGAACACAACAGGCTTTTGCTTGTGATGGAAAAAGGAGACGACAGGAGATTAAGTCTGATATTAAACACCAACAGAAAATGTGTAATGAAGACATTCAGAAACTTTTATGTCCTCTTCCTCTTAAACACAACAGGAATGAGAAGTGTGCCTGCAGCTGCTTCATAACAAAAACTCTGCAGTGACATCTAATTGCTTCATATCTTCATTTCTCAGAAACCCGGTGATACTGTTCAGTTTCTCTGTATCCTCAGTGCACCTTCACATTTTTGGTGTTTTTTTTAATGAAGCATTTTTGAGACATTGCACAGGAAGAGTGGACTCCTTTATGAAGTACGGGAAGGGCAGAGCTGGCTTTATGTGTGTCAGCAGCTTATTCTACAGTCCACTGTGATATTAACTGGACTGTATTGTTACTACGGTTGGGTATTGTTGAGATTTAAACCAGTACTGTTTATTGACCAGGTACTTAAACAATACTCTTAATGGTTCGTTTGTTTGTTTGGTTTTTTGAGAAAACAGAACAAGAACAGCATTAATTAGAAAAACATTTTCTTTAACAGTATTTTTGCTGTTGAGTATTAATAGTTTTACTTCTTCTCCCACAGCTCTGCTCTGAGTGCTCCTGAAGCTCATAACGCTCTGAGCATTTCAGACTGAATTTCTAAACACACCCACAGCTAAACAAGCAGTTGGCACGCTGCTATAGGTTCAGAGAGAGATCTCATCTTAGAAAAATCAGCACTAAATTAGAAACTGAGTTGGTGAGACAGAATGTACAAGATAACATCATATGGCAATATCATAAACAGAATCTATTTTCCTATTTTTTTCAGTACTGAGATCAGAACTGCTGCACGTCGGACTGCGCTGTGACGTGATCAAAGCAGGGCCTCACCTGGAACCAGATGGCGTTGACTATCTTGCTGAGGACGAACAGAGGGAGAACCCAGAGAGCGCTGAAGACAGAGGTCAGGATGAACTCTAACCAGGACCACACGCTGCCGTGGAGGGAGGGGTCACCTGGAGCAAACACAGCTTCGTTAACAGACTGCTGCTTCCCACCACACGGCCGACAACCTGCTCCAGATTCACCAGCAGTCATACGTACCGATGATTTTTGCCGTGAGAGTCTGTAGCAGTGGGATAAACACCCGGTAGAAGAGAAACAGACTGAGCTAAAGAGACAAAACAAAATGTTACGGTTACTCTTCAGGTGAGGGACACAAGTGGCTGGTGTTTTAGTGGAAAATAAGAACCTACAGTAATGGATGAAAGACTTCACACTTCACCATTACAGCTGGTTAACAGCTTACCCAGAACACTCCTCCATTCCAGGCACAGCACTGAAAAATCCTGCTGGCTACTTTGGGTTCACTGGAACAGAACAGAAAGAAAGACAATGAGCATCCCTGTTAAATATCACTGGTTTCACTTTAATTCTACTTTTCTTACTTAACCAGAGTCAGACAAACTCATGGATGCTGTTTGTAGGCTGAAGGGATGTAAAGCCATGTTTATTCACAGAGGTCACGGTAACCCTTGACAGCTACTTTCAAATAAAGCTCTGCAAAGATCCATGAGCGCTCCTATAAAATAGCACGCTGTAAAATACGCAGGCTTCATCATCACAGGGCCAACACAGAACCAGACCACCAACACACTCACCTCTCACACATACATCCCCAGTTAACCTCAGCATGTATTTGGATAAGACCAAGTGATAGAATGTTTTCAGGATTCTCTGCTTCTCTTTTTAAACACATTTAAAGTATCCCTGTGCACATCTGACTCTGGTTCAGTAACACAATTAGCAGCACTGCGACCAAAATACACAGTGTCTATTTTGGCCTACTTGTCCGGTTTGCGCTCCTCACTCTGTGCCCGTCTCTGTGCCAGGGCCCCACTGGCCCGTCGCCTCCGCTGCTCTTCCCTTTTCTGCTGGATGCGGGCATCCAGCTTGGAGATTGTTCCAATCCCCAATATGGAGTCCTTGATCCCCTGGAGAGAGAGAGGACACATGAGATGTTTGTTTCTAACTTGCAAACATCACATCTGTAACGGAGCATTAAAATGTCTCAGCAAGTGTTTGCTGGGCAATTACCCAGTTATTCATCAAGCTGATTGCTGACCTAATATTAATCAATGGCTATTACACACTGAAGTAACCCTGAATTCAGGTAACAGCAACACTATTGAGGGGGTGTAGCAAAAGAGGAGTCTGAAAATATTGCAACACAAGACAAACATTATCTTTGGACTGTTCTGGAGCACAGCCAGGTCACCTTCAAGCCGATGGTACACAATGATAAAGGTAATAAACAGAAAATGAGGTTTAGCCATTTTCATTTATCCTGGACAACAGTACACCAGCACTACTTTGTCTGTAGAGGATTTGTCTGACCCAGTTTGACCTTCATACATCAC